AAGTGAGAATATCAAACTAAAGGAGGAGATTTCCGAGGCTAGGATTGATGCCATCAAGATTTCTAATGATCGACAAGTTATTTGTGCAAAACTCTTGACTTGTGAAACAGAGAGGAATGAGCTACAATAAATCTATGCAACATATGAAGAAAAAATTGAAACTCTCGAGATGTCTCAAGTTGCTTTGGAAGAACTAATGATCAAAAAAGAGGAAAAGCTCAAGTGTGCTATGGCAACCATTGGTCTTTGGAACAAAGAATCAAAGACTTTGGACAATATCATTGGTTCTCAACAAATTTGTTCTGACAAGAGTGGCATTGGCTTAACAAATTTGTTCTGACAAGAGTGGCATTGGCTTTGGTGGTAAGAAAGAGCAAAAACAGAGTGCATCCACATCTCATGATACAAGAACTCAAGGGCAGGGGGAGCACATGGTTCAACGAAATGATGGACTTCTCAAACTTTCTAGAGTTGGTAAGGTAAAAGAAAAGAAGGTACACCCTGTACACCCTGTTTTTATTTGTCATCATTGTGGTATGCATGGTCATATTCGCCCTTACTGTTATAAGTTGCATGGGAAAGTGTCTCATAGAGATGGAAGAAATTCCAACATCTCGTGGGGTAGGAGACACTTCATTGGTGGTAATGGGGTTAAGGGTCATTTTAGACCTCGTTATTTTGATGTGCTTGAAACTGTGAAGATTTGTTAGATGGACGGGGTCCATTCCTTGTTATATATATAGAGTTTTGTCTTGTATTGTTTTGAAAGGATTTCGGCTATTATTCATGCAAACTCCTTTATTATTTATGCCATTCACTGAGTATCCAAGCTCACCCTCTCTATATATATGTAGGTGATGAACAAGAAGGCGGTGACGCCTAGACGTGATTTCTGGAGCTTATTTTTGGGTCTTATTTATGTCGGCTTAACCTACACCTAAGCTAGCAGTCTTGAAAATCATGCTTATCGACTTGTAATATTTGTACTTTGAACACGTCGGCTGAGAAGCCTTTTGATCAAGACGTATGTTTTTGTGTGATTGTTATGTCGGCAAAGAAGATGTCGGCAACCTGGCAAACTGTGTACTTAAATCTGTAATTTATACAACTTGCTTATGTCGGCTTGTGGAGCACTTTGCTAATACGAAATATGTAACTTGCACTTTGCTTGTTTGTTATTAAGTTATAACCCATATGTGAATGGTTACTATCTCATGTGACTTATGCACTGCTCTTTTGGACCACTTGTATTTTAGATTTTTGCTTTCGCACTTGTGAGCCCCATATATTTATATACTCTGATTGTGTGTGAATTAAGAAAGTTGGCCTCCGGTAATCTCGGATTACTGGCCATCACGACACCAAACTACTAGGGGCGGTTTGGGGTCATGACAGCTCATTTTCTTCTCAATCGCATGCCTACTCCTATTCTTTCTGGTCGGTCTCCTTATGAGGCTTTGTTTTCTCAACTTCCTAACTACTTCCTCCTTCGTGTGTTTGGGTCTGCCTGTTTTGTCCTTTTTCCCCACAAAGATAGGACCAAACTTAGTGCCCGATCTGTCCTTTATGTCTTTTTGGGTTATAGTCCTACTCAGAAAGGCTATCGGTGTTACGACCCTGTTTCCTGTCGTCTTTATGTCTCTCGTCATGTTTCTTTTCTCAAACGTCTGCCTTACTTTCAGCTTCCTCCTGTCACTGCTCCAGTTTCCAAAGAGGATTTGGTTCACATTGATCCATTTCCTTCTGAGGTACCGTTTGATGAGTACATCTCCACAGTTCCTTATGAGCTTGTTTCATCTTCTCCTCCTGCTTCACCTCTGGCTACTTCTCTTCCTTCAGTTTGTTCTCCTCCTCCATTGTTAGTTTATTCTCGTCGCAAGGCTCCTCCTCCACCAGTTGTCTTTACCCCTACTACTGATCCTCCTGCTGCTGCTGACTTTGATCCTGCTGCACACCGATATCCTACTCGAGCGCATCATCCTCAAAATAGGTTAGGTTGGTCTAATACATGTTTTTCTGCTTCCTATCGTACTTTTTTGTCTGCTATTCACTCTTTTTTAGAACCTCAGGCTTACAAAGAGGCATGTCAGGACCCTCATTGGGTTCACGCTATGGAAGATGAGTTGTCTGCTCTACAGAAAACTAGTACTTGGGAGCTGGTTCCTTTGCCTGCTGGTAAGAACTTGGTTGGTTGCAAATGGGTCTACAAAGTCAAGACTCATTTTGATGGGTCTCTTGAGCGCTACAAAGCTCGTTTGGTTGCCAAAGGTTTCTCTCAGGAGTATGGTATTGATTATGAGGAAACATTTGCTCCTGTTGCCAAGATGACTACTGTCCGTACTTTGATCTCTGTCGCTGCTATTCGTTCTTGGCCTCTTTATCAGATGGATGTTTAGAATGCTTTTCTTAATGGCCATCTCACTAAGGAGGTTTACATGCGTCCTCCTCCTGGTTTTCCCCATTCCTCTGGCCAAGTTTTTCGTCTTCGGCGTGCTCTGTATGGTCTGAAGCAGTCTTCTCGTGCTTGGTATGATCGCTTTCAGACTGCTGTTACCGAGCTTAGGTTTCATTGTTCTGCTTCCGACTCTGCTTTATTTCTGAGACATGCTGGTTTTGTTGCTCTCTTACTCTATGTGAATGATATGATCATCACTGGATCTAACTCTTCTGTTATCTCTGAGGTCAAGCAGCATCTCTTCCGCACCTTCGAAATGAAAGATCTGGGTCCATTACGGTATTTTCTTGGTATTGACGTTGCTTATTCTCCAAAGGGCTATTTTCTGTCTCAGGCTAAGTATGCTAATGAAGTCATTCACCGTGCTGGTCTTACTGATACTAAGATTTCTGATACACCTATTGAGCTTAATGTGAAGCTTAATTCTACTAATGGTGTCCCTCTGGATGATCCTACTTTATATCGCGAGCTTGTGGGTTGTTTAGTTTATTTGATGGTCACTCGCCCTGATCTTGCTTATGCTGTTCATGTGGTTAGTCAGTTCGTTTCTGCTCCTCGCTCTACCCATTGGGCTGCTTTGGTTCACATTCTGCGCTATCTCAGGGGTGCCATATTTCAAGGCTTACTATTGTCCTCTACTTCCTCTTTGGACCTGGTAGCCTATGCTGACTCTGATTGGGCTGGTGATGTTACTGATCGCAAGTCTACGTCTGGTTTCTGTATGTTTCTTGGTGATTCCTTGATCTCTTGGAAAAGAAGAAACAATTAGTCGTTGCCCGTTCTACTGCCGAAGCTGAGTATCGTGCTATGGCTCATGCAACTGTTAAGATTGTTTGGCTTCGTTGTCTTTTGTCTAATCGGGGTGTCTTTTAGTCTTCTCCGACCTCTCTCTATTGTGACAACCACAGTGCTGTTCAAATTGCCCACAATATTGTCTTCCATGAGCGGACAAAACACATTGAGATTGATTGTCACTTTGTTCGCCAACATCTGTAGTCTGCCTCTATCTCGCTTCCTTTCATCCCTTCAGCTTTGCAACTTGCGAACTTCTTCACCAAGACTGACACTACTGCTCGGTTTCAGTTTCTTCTTAGCAAACTCTTTGTATTTTCTACTAAAACACTTTCAGTTTGAGCGGGGGTGTGAGAATATATTGTGAGAATATATTGTGGGTCTTACAAATTAAACTTAGAGTCCTATTAGAGGCATGATTGTATTAGAGTCATGATAGTATTGTATTTGTATCTGTATTTCCTTTTTGGTTTAGGAGTTAGGGCTATATATATTCTAACGTCTGATTGTAATTGATACACATTGAATATATGAGATACAGAAAGCTATTCAGAAATCTTACAGTTGCCCTATCCATGCTGGTATTTTTCCTGTGAGTTTGTTTCCTCCCAGATCAATCATTATTAAATTTGTGCATCTCTTTAATGAAGAAGGAATTTCCCCACAGAAATTGTTGTTGCGTAAGTGCAAAGTTTGAATATGGCCAAGGGAACCCATTGAGCTCGGAATTTCCCTGTACAAATTGTTGTGTGCCAAATTAATGATGGATAGTGCTTTGACGCGCACCCAACAGCTCGGAAGTTCTCCTAATAGTGAGTTATTTGAGAGGTCAAGATAGGTGAGCTCTGTACCCCTAATTGCACATAAGAAAGAAAGTGAACCCGAAACTTATTTTTGGAGAGATTCAAAAGTGTTACATTAGGAGGAGCTAGTGGTATTGGACCCGAAAAATGATTCGAACTTAAATCTATTTCAGGATAACCGTGATACTTTAATGACAGATCAGGCAACAAACCTTTGATCAGATTGTTAGAGAGATTTAAAAATCTTAAACCTGGGGATAGATCCCAAAACCAACTCGGAACATTATCTGAAATTCCATTACTTGAGATATCAAGCCAAGAGTTATTTTGTGTTTGAAGCCATTTTGGAAAATGAGGCCCCAACTTACAAGATGATAAATATATGAAATCAAGTTGGAAAGGAGGAACCCAGTCAGAACTGAAATTAAAAGTTAATAATGTGTTTGAAGAAAATGACAAATACTTCAAACTGGACATATTAGAAAAGTGAGTTTCAGAGAGTATGACTTTTAATGAATTGAAAGAGACATCGAAAGACTCAAGCTTGGAAAGTTGTCCAATATTTCTGTGTATAGTACCATTCAATTGATTGTCTCGAAGGTCTAACTCCATCAATGATGGAAACATTGAAAGGTCAGGCAGTGACCCTGTAATTTGGTTTCCATTCAATTGAAGATAAAGAAGACTAGGAAGTTGTCTAATAGTTCTGTGTATACCATTCAATTGATTGCCTTCAAGATTTAAATCCGTCAATGATGGAAACATTGAAAGGTCAGGCAGTGACCCTGTAATTTGGTTTCCATACAACTGAAGACAAACAATACTAGAAAGTTGTCCAAAAGTTTGTGGGATGGACCCACTCAATTGATTAAAGCCAACATACAATTCTGTTAAGGAAGAAAATCTTGTAAAATCAGGCAATGGACCACTAAGTCGATTGTAATCCACATTCAAAACCGTAATGAGTCCTCTGCCCCAGACAACTTTTGAAGGAATTGATGAAGTTCTTCAGTTAAATTGTTGTAGCAAAAATGTAAAGATAGTAAATGAGTTAAATTTGCAAAGGATTTTGGAAGGGCGCTTTTAAGATGATTAAAACGAAGACTGAGATTTGTGAGGGAAATCAAGCCTCCAAAAGAATCAGGAATCAGACCTTTTAATTGGTTACTAGAAAGGTCAACATCAATAAGGCTACTACTAAAGTTGAACAACCAATTGTCTATTGAAGAAGATAGATCATTACCAGATAGATCAATTACAGAAAGAGACACAGAAGAATTAAAAGGAAGTGAGGGATGAGTAGTGATATCAGGAAGTGTACAATCAATTAACCTTACCTCCTTTAGGAGAGGGAGATTATTGATAGATTGAACCCAGTCGATTGCTTTACTAAGGTTAACACCACTAAGGTCCACGTGACTTAATGAAGAAAGGGGAAAAAGCCACTCAAGATTTCCACCATTCGTATAATAATTTCTGCTAAGATTAAGATACTGCAAGCTAGTAAGGTTCCTGAACTGAATAGGAATTGGACCAGAAAAGCCAGTATATGCAAGGTTGAGGTATCGTAGTCTGCCGAAAGAACCAATGAACTTTGGGATGTGCACATGGAAAAAACCATTACCACTAAGGTCCAAATACTTCAGATGTTGCAATTCAAGCAATGAAGGACTAATCTTACCTCTCAGTGCCTGATAAGGAGGATCAAGAGAATAATTGTACAATACATGAAGATCGAGCATGGTGATATGACCAGTGTGGTTGTTGCACCCAACTCCTCTCCATTTGCAACAATCTTTTTTATCTTATTCACTCCCCCAAGATGAGAGAAAGTCATAATCATCGATAAGAGCATCTTTAAACGTGAGGAGAGCTTGTCTCTCCCTCTCTATGCATTTGGTTTTAGCATATTCTTCAACTCTTGAGGAGAGTCCAAGAGTCGGTTTCATGAATAGTAGAAGCACAACGACGACAAACACATGGAGAAATTGATGAAAATTTTCAACCATCATCATTTTCATGACCATGATCACGATGATGCAGCAAAAATTATTATCAAGATGAAGTAACAAAAATACACCAAGAAATAAGGATTTGCAATTTTTGGTTTGCTGAGTTTTATAAACCATGGAATGGCCACCTTTAATATTGTAGTTGCACCACTAGTTTTCGAAAATGTTCCTAGAATAAGACTTGGGAGTCAACAGAAGATGCCAATAACTGTGAACTCATTCAAGGCTTTTATTCAGATATTTAAATCTCTAGAAACATAAAACAATTCTTAATTTTTTTTTTTATAGGAGTTTCACGTGTGCATCTGCCACTAGTATGGACATTGTGTTCGCTCAATTTTCGTGATAAAATTAAACAAGAAAATAAATGGGGCATTTTTATTCATACGGTCTTTTTTATTTACTTATATTTCACTTAATTCAAATTATATTTTTTATGTTCCAATAAATTATATGATTGACACAGTTACCAAAATACACCTAATAGTAATAGTGTGAAATGCGCATTAATGTTCACATTGACAGTGTAAATGTGACATGATGTGAGCATTTATACTGTCAAATTTATTTAATATGAATGTTCACATCACCAAGTTGGTAAGGGTTCAAAAAGTATTTATAAAGGGTAAAATTGTTCATAAAATACCTTAAATATGAGAATTAAGATTTGGTGGGTTAAATGTCCAAAGCAATTGGACTTATTGGAATATAAGAATATTTTATAAACTAATTGAAATACAAGTATTTAAAATAGGATTTTCTAATAAATTTCCCAAAACAAGGTAAATTAATCCCTCAAAAATTAAATCCTGAGAGGTTGGGACAGGAATCCTAAGGAAGGTAATTTTGCAATTTTGCCTTCAATAGAAAATTCCCGAATATGTTATCCTAACCCGTACCCTCCAACTAGGATTGCAAATGAACCAAGTTGCTGGCGAGCAAGCTCGGCTCGGCTCGTCTCGTTAAGGATTTGGTTCGGTTTGACTCATTTAATAAACGAGTCGAGCTTGAATAAACTCGGCTCGTTTATCTTTATTTAAATAATATTTAAAAATATGATTTATATATTAAATAATGTATAAATAATATCTTTTATTTAAATAACATAAAAAAATCTTAATGAGCCAAACTCGAGACCAGTTAGTTATCGAGCCGAACTCGAACTCAATAAACGAGCCGAGCTCGAACTTAGCATCACATATTACAAATAATAACATTTCGGCAAACACATCCACACGGTAAACCGTCCGTGGCAAAGCAAGGCAAAGCAAGATAGGTATCTCAAACGAGGGTGCTACGAAAGTTTAGAGTCCTCTAGCACAAGGGACTTTCAAGATAAGATGTGCTGCTCAAGTTTAGAGTCCTCCAGCACAAGGGGCCTATGTTACAAGAGCCCGTAGCCCTTTAACACTTGGGTGCTGCTCAAGTTTAGAGTCCTCCAGCACAAGGGACCTATGTTACAAGAGCCCGTAGCCCTTTAACACTTGGGTGCTGCTCAAGTTTAGAGTCCTCCAGCACAAGGGACCTATGTTACAAGAGCCCGTAGCCCTTTAACACTTGGGTGCTGCTCAAGTTTAGAGTCCTCCAGCACAAGGGACCTATGTTACAAGAGCCCGTAGCCCTTTAACACTTGGGTGCTGCTCAAGTTTAGAGTCCTCCAGCACAAGGGACCTATGTTACAAGAGCCCGTAGCCCTTTAACACTTGGGTGCTGCTCAAGTTTAGAGTCCTCCAGCACAAGGGACCTATGTGTAACAACCCACATTTTTGTCCTAGTAATTTACTGAGTAATTTACTAGGAATTTTCTAAAAACTAAGTCAGATCGAATCAAAACACAGTTTCTTATTCCGGAAAACACGCTGGGCAACTACCAGGTCTAGGCCGAGGTCCCACACCTCCTTGCTGAGGTGTAGCCTCGATGGCCACATTCAAAAGTGAAGTCGGGAAAAATCTGGGTTTCCCTCTTGATAAACATGAAGAACATGAGCATGAAGAACTTGAAGAACATGAACATGAGGAAGATGAATGCAAAAATCATAACTTGCTATACAAAAGCTGAGATTTCATGCCACAACTACGAAAACGTGGACCTGGGTACCCATACTCAAGGATCTCATCAAAACAAACACAAATGCATGAGCTTCGATGCAAATTTTCAGATCAAACGAAGCTTTTCTTCAAAAACACATGAAAACCGTTTTCTCTTTCTAAAACCAACTTTAAATCAATGCATGACGTGCCGAACAGGTCTGATCGTGCAATGCAGCTAGATGATCAATAAGAACAACAAGAATAGGTTACGATTCTAACCTCAAAACCCGAATCTAACGGTTCAAGCTCCAACGATCAAGCTTGGAAGTCACCCTCTTTAGCTCAACTTCTCCTCCTTCTCCCTAGAGCTTCTCTCTCTAAAACACAAGATTTGATACCCAATGATATGTTTTTCTCGACAGCCACTGACTTAACCCTCTACTGGGACACGTGGCATCAGTTGATAGGCTCAACTCAAAAATGTGACTGACTTGACAAGACAAGACCAAGACAAAGCGTACTCAGCAAGCTAGGCGGCACGAACACACCGGCAAACAACGACATCGGCTAATCAGCAAGACTCCGGCAATCAAGAGGAAAGGACATCGGCTTGGGAAGATAACACCTGACTAAAAGGTGCCACACCTCGGCCTAGGTCAAACCATTCCAGGAACAAAACCACTCATGCAAGGATCAAGGATCTAGAACGCCTAGATATTAACATCTCGGCCCAGATGATGCACATCTCGGCCTAAGCGACGCGCACCTCGGCCTAGACGGTGACATCTCGGCTAATATGCCAGGGTGAAGATGGGGGTCAACCGACGGGTTCCAAGACAGTTCTAAGTGACAAAGGCCTCGAAGGTGCCTAGGCTTAAGATGACCTCGGCAACACACCAGTCAAGAACAAAGCATGCAAGAAATCGTTCAAGCAAAACAAGACAAGATTTGCAAATGCACTTATTAAAACAAAATCATCCATAATGTATGCAAGTATGACTAAGTCAAAAATGAGGGTTGTTACATTCTACCCCCCTTAAAAGAAGTTTGGTCCCCAAACTTGAGTTACCTTGTTCCGAAAACAATTCTGGATGTCGAGCTTTCATTTCCTCTTCCATTTCCCATGTGGCGTCCTCTCCGTAATGCTCCTTCCATTCAACTTTCACCATTGGTATCGACTTGCTTCTCAACTGCTTCACTCGCCTATCGATAATCCGTATCGGCTTCTCTTCGTAGCCTAAATCTTCGTTAATTTCAATTCCGAAAGAGTCGATCACATGTAGCGGATCTCGAATATACTTTCTCAGCATCAAAACATGAAATACATTATGGACTTGGCTCAATTCTGGTGGCAAGGCAAGTCTGTAGGCAGCGAGGTTAATTTTCTCAAGAATTTCAAAAGGCCCGATGTAACGGGGTGCTAACTTACCCTTCTTCCCAAATCTTGTAACTCCTTTCATCGGCGAAATCTTGAGGAACACGTGGTCCCCGACTTCAAATTCTAATTCCCTTCTTCTTTGGTCGGCATAACTCTTCTGTCGACTCTGTGCGGTTTTGATTCTTTGTTGAACGAGCTTAATCTTCTCCGTTGTTACTTGAATCAACTCGGGACCAAGCAGAGCTTTGTCTCCTACCTCGGTCCAACATATCGGCGACCTGCACTTTCTTCCATACAGTGCCTCATATGGCGCCATGCCAATGCTAGCTTGATAGCTGTTGTTGTAGGTAAATTCCACTAAAGGCAGATGTACTCCCCAACTTCCTTGGAGGTCCAATACACATAGTCTAAGCATATCTTCAAGTGTCTGAATCGTCCTTTCTGTTTGTCCGTCAGTCTGGGGATGGAAAGCTGTACTAAACCTCAACTCAGCTCCGAAAGCTCTTTGTAGGCTTTGCCAAAATCTGGAAACCAACTTCGGATCTCGGTCTGACACAATTGACATCGGCACTCCATGAAGTCTAACAATCTCATTCACATACAATAGAGCAAGCTTATCGGCGTTGAAGGTGGCCTTAACAGGCAAGAAGTGCGCTGACTTAGTTAGTCTATCCACGATAACCCAAATCGAATCCATACCCTTTTGTGTCTTCGGCAACCCAACCACAAAGTCCATGGAGATGTGCTCCCATTTCAACTCAGGAATTGGCAAAGGTTGAAGAAGTCCTGCTGGCCTTTGGTGTTCTGCTTTCACTTGCTGGCAATACAGGCACTGCGACACGAATTCGGCTATCTCTCCCTTCATGTTCGGCCACCAAAACGTCTGCTTCACGTCCTGATACATCTTGGTGTTCCCGGGGTGAACAGCAAACTTAGAACCATGAGCTTCCTGCAAAATTTTTCTTTTCAAGTCCGGGATGTCGGCTACACACAATCTTCCTTCAAACTTGAGCACTTGATTTTCTATGGTGTAACCTGATCTCGGCTTTGTGATAATCTCATCGGCTACCTTCTTGAAGAATTCATCCTCCATTTGCCTTGTCTTTACCTCCTCAACAATAGTCGGCTCTACTGAGATCGCGGTTAGGCATGCCAAATTTCCAACCACCTTTCTACTCAGAGCATCGGCTACGGTGTTAGCTTTTCCTGGATGATATTGAATCCGCATGTCATAATCTTTCAACAACTCAAGCCATCTCCTCTGCCTCAT